TTTCTTTTAATTTTTAGCTAATACTTTGATTTTCAGCTATCATTTTGCTCCGCTTGGCTTTTATTTAGCATTTTGTTTCTGTTGGCTTGTAGCTAGATTTGAGCTCTTTTAGTGTTTTGCTCCTCTGATTGTTTTAAAGCTACAGTATTCTTTTTCTTTTAGTTTTAACAACTCAGTTTCAGCTTATTCAGCAAATTTCAACTAAGTGATTCAGAATTCACATTTTTATTTTCAAATAAAATTAAATTTCCTCATTTTTACTCAAGATTTTACATTTCATTGCTGAAAAATCCTGCTCCTTTTCAGCCGTGCCACACGTCGGATGTGTTCATGAGAAAATCAGGTAGACAGACCGACAGGGGGTACTGGTGTCCAAAGTCACGACCCTGCCCTGACCTGCATGAAGGAAATGGTCACGCTGCTCGAGACAAAGCAGAGCAAAGGAGAGTCTGAGGGGGCTGGCTGCTCCGCTTCTAACAATGGGTCCGTGCTCTTAGACCGCAGGCCACACAAAGGCCAGAGAAACACCCTCCTATCCACTCCCACGTTGCAATAGAACTGGCATTTCACACCACTCTGTGAACAGCCATTCAGTCAAACTACTGTTTAACCTGGCCTCTGGCCTACAGAGAAATCGAGATGAGTCTGTCGGGACGTATTCAGGTGACCTGACCTGACCTTAGTGAAGCAGCTCATCAAGTCTTCTGTTGTTTTGGTGTCAAAAAACAAGATGAATCCCATTTTGTCATTGCTTCTCCAAATTCCAGTGAATATTCCTTAAAAGTGTGTAATCAATAGGCCACCCAATAAATATTGTGCCCATTGAAGAAGCAATAGCTCCCTGGGGAACAAGAGACACGACCAGACCCTCCGTCTGAGTCGGTTACCCTCGAGCTGGGGCTCTGCTCCGCCTCTCTACCTGTACAGAGCTCGAATCAAGGTGTGGGGGCCGCATATCAAACACACCGAGGTCTTTGATGTGGATGGAAACACAAACGCAGATTTGAGCAGTCGTAACAGCTTATTTGTTCCCTTTAGTCATTCATTGAGCTGCTTGTTGAATGTGTATGCCTTCAAAGGCCTGACGCATGCACCGCTGGTACAGTAGCCAGGGAGGCCTTGAGAGCTTGCCTGGCCTGAAGAGGTTGCAGAGAGGCCATCTGGTTTCCTGTTCCTTAGATTTGGTATTGATTTATTGACTGTACAGGGGAAGATAAGTGAAGAGCAGCTGCCAGAAGTTCTCCTCGCAGACAATGGACCTGCTGCTGGCCATTCACAAACTGACTAAATAGGTTAATTGTTTGGAGAAATCAGGTACAAAAATAATCTATTTAGCAAGCGTTCCAAACCTGAACAGAAAAAAAAACAAAACTTGTTAAAAAAAAAAAAAAAAAGTCAAGCCCGACTTAAAATGTCAAGCGCTAAAATAATACAACAGCACAACTATTTTTAAATCTGTGTTTTAAAATCACAAGTGCACAATCTGCATGTGTATTTGTTTTACACTTGTTTTGCACCAATTAAGCTCATTTACGGATCTGCGGATTCAAAGCGTTGTGTCACAAAGATGACCCCCAGTAATGAGGTGCAAAATCCCATTTATTATTCCTAACAAATCCTTGCAAGCTTTTACAGATTACAACATCACGCTAATCACAAAATCCAAATTCGGCCTCCATGCATAACATGCCTCCACGTTAAGTGAGCCAGGAGCAGTTTGGCCTGAGCCTCTCAGTTAGAGGCGTGAATTCTACGTCATGTCTGACTTTTTCCTCCCCCTTTTTTTTTCCTTAAAGTAGAAAAGACAGTTCCCCAAAGCCTGTTCCTCCTGCCCACCCCCAAAACTTTCTTTCCTTTCCCCTCCCCTGCCAATTCAAGTCTGTGATGTGACTGCCTGAGATAAAAAAGGTGAGAATTTTATTGCCTGGCACCAGACTGTGATGGCCTCAGCTCTGACTCTCTGGTATTGGGCGCCCTCTGTTGATCGCTCACACTGCTAACTCAGGTTGCACTTCAAAGTGAGAGATCAAGGGTTGAATTGCGCATGGCATCCAGAGAATGACAATACCACAGCCAGCCTATGGCTAAACACACAAAAGTCATGCATGCGGCTCCCGCGGTATTTTTCCTCATGGGTGAAGTTTTCGTTCAAGCTGTGTTTGTGGCGGGCAGGGGAACGAAGGAGACGTAGCAGCAACAGCCTGTTGGAGGTGTCCTGTTTGATTGCTGGAGCATTAATTGATAAGATACAGCATAAAAGCACTTATCTTTAAGACGTCAGATTATCCCATGCGACAGCAGAATCAAAGAATTTCCAATTTGCGATTCTGTAGTCTTGCACCTTAAAATGGCACCTTTCAAATAAACCAAAACGTAATAACGGTAACTACAAGTCTTGATTTTTCCAGCTTTGAAATCCACTATACAACCCATTTCCCGCACAGGCATTGACACACCGTTCGTTCTCAGCTCGAGGTGGGGGAGTGCGGGGATCCTCCTGTGATCAGGCCCTCATTTCCTCTGCTCGGCTCTGTTGTTCCAGAGAGTGTCTGTGAAGGAGCCAAGTGGCTCGGGCAGAGACAGAAGGTGGGCTCCTCGCATGGATCTGATCGCTGACATCCCGGCAGGGGAAAGGAGGTTCTCCTGGCGGGCCAAGACGAGGAGAAAACAAACACGAGGATGAAACGAGACAGCAGAAACCATCTTAGAGTAAATCAGATGTGATTTATGGTTGGTACTATAAAGACAACAAGATAAGACTTTACGTGACAGAGTGGCTGCAACTGTTGAAGAAAAAGTGAAATAAGAGTGATGGGACAAAAAAAAATCAGTTCATTTAAAACGCAAACCTTGCCACATCTTCAAACATATATTATTACATGTTTACACGTAGTCTCCTGTCTGATGTCCCATAGTATAACGTTTTTAAAGGTTACGGCCTAGTTCAACAATTTTACTGTCGGTTACTGAAAGCAGGCAGATTAAACAGGATTAACCACAAGTTTCACATCAACTTTTGTGATCACTGCGCATAACTAAATTCATACAAATGAAACCTACGATGCAAAAATGAGAAATGCTTTTTGACTCATTTTTAGCTCTAAATAGAACTGCCTATAATGTGAAAGGAGCTGCAGCAATTACCCTTAAACATATTTATCTTTTCATGCTCTAAGGGCTTTAGGGACTCCAGAAAGACTAAATTATGTATCAATGTTTTGTAATGAAAAAGAAAAAGCTACTCTCTGCATCCATGACTGCTTGGTAAATGTGTGAGCTGATGTTGGCAGCTGTTCAGATCCATCCACTGAAAACATGAAGTCAAACAAGGACTGTAAATCATGAAATGTACGACCTAAAAAAAACAAACTACCAGTCAGCAAGATCTATCACTTTTTTAAATGTAACATCCCCTTTAAAGAAAATAGTATTTTGGGCCAACAAAATGTAAAGAACAAATCTCACACACACCAAATGAGAACTAGGACTATTTGTTTTCAGCACTTGTTCTTTTCGGTTCCTCATGACAGAGCGCAGTGAACACAAACAACATATGAACTGGGTAGCAATCATTAAAAAAAGTCACATTAATTTAGGTTGAACATGACATTGTTGTCTTTATAATAAATATATAAATGGTTTAAAAGACGTACAAACCATCCATCTATTGGACTTTTAATTGTGGTTTACTGCATTAACAAAAAACTGTTGTCATTTTCATATTAAGCAGATTATTACAAGATTAAAATGCTCCTAATTCACTTATTCATCTGTAATAATTAAAGGCATTGCATGTCTTGAAGGAATGCATACTGCATGCTGCCTTTAAGGTCATTTTATGCTGAGAAATGATGATGTTGTAGCAGACTGGATCAAACCTCAAAAATAATGTTTAACACAATCTCATGCAGTATTGCAAAATGTCACTCTGTGGCTGTGTTGGGCATAACTCTCAGCCACTACCACCTCAAAATGTAGGTCAATAATTGTAAAGCTGAATGAGTTATAGCCATTTTAGTGTTTGCTCTGATTAGCAATAGTGGCCATCTTTTAACTGATTCACTATAAAATGTAATCAGTTGTAGAGGTACAACCATTGATTACTTTTTGACATCCAAATTCAAATTCTACAAAGTGTGCATGAGATATTTTGCTAACAGACAAAAGCTGACTCGAACATGCTCACATTCTAAGCAATAATCTTGCGCAATGATTAGAACATGGAGTATGTGTTTTGAATGAGTCTCAGCTACTTCTATACCAAATTTTAGCACAGAATCTGTGAAATTGACTGAGTTTTAGTCATTGTCGGGCTTTCTAAAATCAGTTTGCTGTGGAAGCCATCTTGGACTGGGCTGGCTCCAGAGGTTAATCACTTATAAAGACCAATGAAGTATAATTTCCTTAAAAAAAATCATTAAAATCTATCCAATGATTCATGAGATATTTTGCTAACAGACAGACATAAAGACTATATAAATAATGTCAAATATCTTATCAAAGGTCTTGCATAATCTGACAATGCTCTGCATATCAGTTGAAGGGCAGTCTCGACTACTAGCACACCAAATTTTCATTTAATAACTGTAAATTTGACAGAATTATATACATTTTTGTGTTTTTTAAGGTCAGTTGGCTGTGGCACTCGTGGTGAATCGGGCTGACTCCAACATTTAATCAGTTGCAGATATATAACCAGTGATTTCCTGTCTGAGAGTTTCGATAAAACTCGGTCATCAGTGATAATAATTTTCTGCTACTAATAATTACCTGCTTTGGGAGACATAAATAGGAACCCAAATGAGGTCAAAGTGCGCCCTCTAGCGGTGTCATTGTGTTTAAACCTCGCATAGCGCTGCTGACTAATCAAAGTGACGCGTTTGTTGTCACATAACGCCATCGGTCAGGACAGGAGAGGAGACAGCCTGTCTGTATTTGCATGTCTGACCTGTCCCAGCGAACCGGTTTCAGGGAACAGAGTCCAGGCCAAACAACCGGCGATGGCCTCGGTGAAAAACGACAACCGGCTGACTGGCTCTCAAAGCTTCATGTGCGTCGGCTTCTCCGGCTTCTTCAGCAAAACCGTCACGTCCCCCCTGGAGGTGGTGAAAATCAAAAGCCAGGTGGGGACTTTTCACTGCAAGAGCGGTTTCTGGCAAAGTTTCTTAGTCATCTACCGGAATGAGGGACTTCGAGGATTTTGGAAAGGAAACATGGCTTCGTGTCTGCGTTTGTTTCCGTACAACGCAGTTCACCTCACAACGTACAAAAAGTAAGTCAGACCTGGTTATCAGGTCGACTTGTCTCACATTTATAGCCGCTTGTTTGATAAACAGCTTGATAAAGTTGAATTTACATGTTTGTGTAACAGTGGGTGAAACAAGCAAACTTGTGCTAAAATAAAGGGATGCTTGCATTACCTGCTCCTCGTTGACCTGTTAAGTAGAAACAATTGAATCATTTGGACGGTTTGTTTACTTTTTAACAGTTAAACATTGTACTTCCGGTTTTATCGTGGCTTTCTTTTTCTCGACCAATCAGAAGGCTGGGTTTCATCAGTCGATTTTTAAAACCACATGGGTAATGTTGCCCTGAGATTTGTCTCACAGGTCGGCAAAGCAACCGAAGGCGGTGCGTGAAATGAAAAGCTTAAAGTAAAATTTGTCTTAAAAAATAATTTTTTAACAACTTTTTCAGTTTCTTCAGAAGTAGAGCAGTTGCTAACCAGAAGGAAAAATACATATTTTGATAAACGGTGCTGCTAATAAAAACCTGTACAGTATTCAATTGATGAATTGTCAGCAAATTCTAGCTATCTATTTTTTTAAATGTATTCATTCATGTAAAGTAAACAAATGAAACAAAACAAATTCATCAAAAAGAAAAAAAACATTGAATGAAAAGAGTGCAGAAAGAAGAAGAAAATTCTTATTATCTATCTATCTATCATCTATCTATCTATCTATCTATCTATCTATCTATCTATCTATATATTTATATATATATATTTACATTTTAAGTGGTCAGTGTTATTTTTTCACTTTAGTTATTTTCGTCATGTTTTGCTTTTTATCATATGTTAAATATATTTTGGGTTTAAACAAATTAGGCTTTGTGAAACATACATTTCTGGAGCTAATTATGAATCATTAGAATGTTTTTAAGCAACTACTGTGTAGATAAATCACAAATAAGGGTTAAATCATGTCATGTGGACAAGTTTCTTTTTGGGAGAAACGTTTCATCTTCATCATCATCATGAAGGACTTCATCAGTCTGAGGCCTGCCAACCCAGATCTGTCATAAATAGCACGTCCTTGATGTGTTTCAAACCAGCCCTCTGTGGAATCCAAAGAAACTAGCTTTACACGTGCAAAAAGGGGACCATCCTTCCAAAACACTCAATCATCACAGAGGGGCTGGCTTGAAACTTATCAAGGAGGCGCTGCTATAAGACAGCTCTGGGTTGGCAGGCCTCAGACTGATGAAGTCTTTCGGATGAAAGACGAAACGTTTCAAAATGAAACTTATCCAGATGACATGACTTAAATCTTTTTTTGTCATTTAACCCTAATGCACACGTAATAACTTGTTCAACAGTCCTTGTTTTGAACAGAACTCATTTTGAAGGGGAATTCGCCTGTGAGACTGAACTGAGGGCACACTGACTAATGTCATAAAGTCCAAAACAAACCAGATCAGACAGCATGACTTCAAAATATACAGGGAGGCAAAGCGCAGTGAACACACCAGCAATCAGCACAGAACAATACAACCAGTGTCTGAGAGGGTCACGCTTTAAACACGTGAATGTGTGTGTGTTTAAAATTATGTGTGTGTGTGTTGGGTGCATCTATTTATACACCCGCTCCATTCTTACTGGGTAAAGTAATTCCCTGTAATGTACAAGGTGTTCCAGGAAACTTGTTTTCACACGTGTTCTGCAGAAGGCTTCATGTTGATGTCCTGGGTTGGGGGGTGGTGGAAGGTTTCATTACTGTGGAATAAGGTCCAGCCCTGGTCAAGGACACTGTTTGCAGAACCCGCACTGTGTGTCAAGGTGAGCCTGACTATATCTAGTGGTACTTAAACCACATCTCAGGCTCCTTCTCCACCAGAGAGGTGACATTCCATGTCCCAAGAACCAGCTAGGGTCAGAACGCCAAGGTCCGGTACTGTGGCTGCTGCCCTTGGCACTCTGCGCCTGACCCGTGTGGCCCCTTGTGCAGGTAGAGGGCCCATAGGACGGCAAACCATCATCAGAGCCTTGTCTTTGCAATATTGAACAATATTACCATAATTGTCTGCTTTTCTAATTTTGTGCAGCCCTAATGTCTTGAGCTGAAATCAAAATAAAATGTAAAAACAATTTGAAGTGGAGCATTTATCAAACAGTTATCATAAAGTGATGATATCAAGGTTGCTAGTGTAATTTTTTTTAATTTATCCCCATGTTGTTGTTTTTAGCGATGCTTGTTTACTTCATCTAAGGATAGTTGAGGCCACAAGCAGTATAATATAGTATATTATGATACATTCAAATAAAGATGACACTATCATATTAATCCTTGTCGCATCATAAAGTATTGAAGCTTCAGAAATATCAACAAAACGTAGAAAATGATTCACTTCAAGCAGCTTAAGTTAACAAATTTATAGCTTCTTTTCCTTCTCTAACTATGTGATTGATAAATAAATAAAGCAAAATGACAGTTATTACTTATCTAATGTAGTATCTAACATTTCAGAACCAAAACAAACATGTGCATAAAATAGTTATAAACTCAAACTGAATATTTACAAGAAAAGCTTTTAACGATGACGTCTCGTTAATTGAGATATTATTAACCACATGCTGCTTTCTTGTGTGTGCAGGATAGTCCACCTCCATATGGATGAGTTTGGTTTCATCTGTCAGTGGAGGGCCATATTTGCGGGGGGTCTTGCTGGCGTTGCTGCAGCTCTGGTCACGTACCCTCTGGAGGTAGCAGAGACGAGACTTATTATTCAGAACTGCAGAGAGCGCACGTACATCAGCATAGCTCATACCATCTCAAAGATCTACAGGAACGAAGGGCTGCGCGCTCTCTACAGAGGGTTTCCCCTCACTGTCTTGGGTGTGTATGCACATTCTTATTAATTAATTAATTTTAATAAGGCGTGCTCCGGTATCTGGTGAAACATCTCTATATTTTACTTCCTGTGTTTAGCAGGCAAGTAGTTTATTTTTTTTTGTTTTGTGGGCCAAATAATTATATCTTCACCTCCTTGCTCTACACGTCATCACTGATAAGTTTTAATACAACTAACAGTGTAATTTATTTGTCCACAGGTGCGTTTCCTTTTTCTGTCGGATGTTATATAGTCTACGTGAACTTGGACAAGCTCTGGCAGGAAGCACCTTCCCGCTTCACCTCCCTGCAGAACTTCATTAACGGCTGTGTTGCAGCAGGAGTGGCTCAAACGCTCTCGTACCCTTTTGAAACTGTGAAACGAAAAATGCAGGTAGGTTATCTGAACTTTCGTCTGCATTGTGCGTTATGGAAACTGTTTTAACGACGCAGTGGTGCAGTGGTTCGAGCAATAAGGTCACAGGTTCAACGCTCGACTTGGGCCTTTGTGCATTGAGTTTGCGTGTGTTTTTTCAATTTATTTTAGTTACTCCAGTTTCCTCCCTCAGTACAAAAACATGCATGTTAGGTTATTAGCAGGCAACTCCAAATAGTCTGTACATGAGTGAGCATGAATGATTGTTTGTTCCTTTGTCTCTTTGTGACCCTGTGATGGACTCACAACCTGTCCAGGGTGTCCCCCGCCCCTCCCCAATGACTTCTGAAGATAGGCACCAACTCCCTGAGAGTAAAGATGGGTGAATAAAGCAGGCAAAATAAAAAGTGCAAATTAAAAGGTTGAGCAAATAGATATTACAAGAACAAAATTTTAATTATTAAGGAGACAAAAAAGAAAAAATATTAATAATAATTTCCAAATTTATTTGACCTGATGGCATTGCTTGTTTTTTCTTCTCTGATTATTCTTCATTTAGAGTTTATAACTAGTTATGGAGTGATAGGAAAGAAGTATATTTTTCTTATTACCAAATATTTAAAAAATGTTTTTTTTTAATTAGTAATATTACTCTCTTCCTTTTTAAAAAATAAATAAATAAAATCAAACTAGTACTGTAGTCCACACCAATTTAGAATTACAGCCCAAGTAAACCAGAAATATCAGAAATTAAGTTGGAAAACAAACATATATTAATTAATACACAAATTTCAAGTAAAAAAAAACTGTTTTCCTTCAGACATTAACAATTTGTGAAATATAGAAGCTAGTTATGATTTAAATTGTTATATTCAGTTCAGTTGTTTGTGGTTTTCTGGTTGTAGTACCACCAAATTTCCATTAGAGGGCAGTAAATGAGTAAGTAAATCTGTAACTAAGACCAGCTCTACTTAGCCCTTCATTGAAAACTGAAAAGAACTTAGTAAAAAAAAAAAAACTGTGTATTTTTCATGTTCTTCTTAAGGCGAGTTTTATCGTTTTCTGTAAGTTACAGAGAAAACAATGGCTGCGCAAAGGACAGAACACTACATCCGGGTTTCTTCTGCCTATTATTAGACACTACAAGGTTTAACAGCAGCTGGGAATGTGAATGTGTCCCACGTCTGCCCAAGTTATAGATGCGTTCTCTAAAAAACAGCCAATAAGTATCAAACTGTAGGAGCACCGAGAGCTGTGTGTTTCCAGTAACGTTTTGAAGATTTGAGATTCAGATGTTAAACTTTAATACAGAATATAGTAAAACATAAAAAAAAATCTGAGGTTGTTCCCAGAAGCTTTGGGTAATGGTTTAACGTAAATACTGTGCAGTTTAACTTCGTTACCCAAGCTTGATGTTTCCACTACAAATTCCAAAAGACCTGCATGTGACCTCAGCGATCCCACATGATGGCCGGCCCGGTTTAAGACACAGCCAACGTGAAGCCAAAGACACTCAAGGTGCTAGCCCTGCAGAAGGTTAAATATCTGAGTGTCCGTCGGAGTCAGAACTGAGGGAGCCTTCTTGGAGGGGAAATGACGTCAACAACAATAATAATAATCTTTTTTTAAACAACCTGTTACATGACATTCAGTCTGGGCTGAGGTTAAAGAAAAGATGGTGTCGTTTTGCACTGACTGATCTGAGAGCCTCATTTACACGTCTGCAATTATAACAATAAGACGTCTAAAGAATTTTAATGAGCTCAGCCTTAAATATTATGCGATGAATGATTACAGTGAGTCATCTCAAAACACCGAGGAGTTTGTTTAGGAGCAAACACTCCAAAACACACGCACGGAAGTGTTCAACTTTTCCACGGAAGCCCTGAAGTTTCTCTGTGCCGTTCCGGAGACGGTTTGTTTGGAAGAGGACACGTTTGTTTCTTGTTTGTACCTTTTTTAGTTTATTTCTCGTGTAGAAGTCGTCCTACGTAGTTGAATCAAACCAACTGCAAAAGTTAATCATTTGTAGATGTACTTCTAGTGATTACTTTCTGAAAGTTTCTTTAAAACTGTCCTAAGGTTCACAAGATATGTTGCTCGTAGACACACACACACACACAGATTTTAACCCTTTCACATCCACTTAACCTTAAAATAATCTAACATGTTTTGTCCTCTTAACCTTCCCAGGTTTTAGCGTCTTGACACATTCGGCTTAATCCCTTTTTTCCACTTCCGTTTCTTCCTCAGGCGCAAAGTGCTCGTCTTCCTCATTTTGGTGGAGTGGACGTGCATTTTAGCGGCATGATCGACTGTTTCATACAGGTCATTAAAAACAAGGGCATCCTGTCACTGTGGAGTGGACTCACGGCTAACACAATAAAGGTGTGCTCACTCACAGATATTATCATTTACTGTCGTTGTAGACATTATACGAGTTCAAATGGCCAGAAAATTAGCCTGCTTGATCTGGTATTGCAAGCAAGTAAGAGCTGAAATATCTGTACATGCTCAGGAACATGAGTGACTGTGACAGTGTAAGGATTGTAACCTACAGCGAGGGAGGGAGTGGGGGCAGGGCGTGGAAAGTCATGTCAAGTGTGGGCACTGCAGGAATACCATGAACAAGGTGGAACAGCATGCTCCATTCTCCAGTGTCAGCTGTAAATATCTTCAGAGCTGGACAGAGTTTAACACGTGACAGTCTGAGTTAAAATGATCAAATATGTGAGTTCTGAAGGTCTTACACATGTAGCTAAAATCAAACATGAGGAATTGTATTTTCTGGGAAAATGTCAAGTGAATGCTAAAGCTAAAAGACGCATAATGGTAGTTAAAGGAGGCTAAAATGAGCAGAATACAAGCTAAACACCAAAACTAGCAGAACAGCAGCTAAAAAGTAAAATGAGTAAAACAGCTGTGATTAAGAAAACATAGCTACATGTAATAAGCCAGACACTAAAGCTAAAATTAGCAAAACATTAAAGTGAGCAAAACTACATCTAAAACTAATGAAGCAAAATGATACGCACAAGCTAAAAGTAGCTAAACTGTAGCTAAAAGTAACATAATAATGGCTAAAATCTAAAAGTAGAAAAACCTTTGCTAAAAGATAACAGTAAACCTTAAAAATAAAAACAGAATAATAACAATTAGCAAAACTTGAAGTATTAAAACAATAGCTAAAATTAGCAAAGCTGTATCTGAACGCTAAAAGAAGTAGAACGGTAGCTTAAAGTAGTAAAACAGTAACTAAAAACTTGTTGCAGCGTGGCAGCTAAAAGCAAGATACAACAGAATGGGTTCATAAAAGCTGAAAGTGGCAGAGAGCTACCTAAAAGCTAAATGTACCAAAATAGTAGCTAAAGCTTGATGTAATGGTACGGTAGTTAAAAGTAGCGTACAAAGACAAAAAGTGAGCAAGTATGCTGAAACAGATTCCAAGGAACTATATATATATATATATATATATATATATATATATAAAAGGGTTATATAAAAAAAATCAAGATTAACATTCAAAAATTCAGTTACAGCACATTGATTAAGCTGAACAATTTTATTAATGACTGATTAAATAGCTTAAAGTATACAGAAGTAATTTGCTTGCAAAAAAACAATAAAATACTATTGTGACAGCTGAATCACACAATAATTAAGATCAGGAGGTAAAGTATTTTTCACACTAAAACGTGCTCATCTCTTCCAATCTTGCTCCTTTCGCAGATCGTTCCCTACTTCGGCCTCCTCTTCACCTGCTTTGAGCTGTGTAAGCAGGTTTGCCTTTACAGAAACGGCTACATCGTCTCGCCTCTGAGCTACAAGCTGATGCCGGGGGTCGACCAGAGCCTCGGGCCGTCCGAGCTGGAGGAGGTCAGGCGCTACTTGAGAAACAGGAACTTTGGGTCAGAAGAGTCATCTCTGGGAAATCGCTGGTGAAACCTCGTGAGGAAGGCTAGTTTGAAAAGAAGGAGCAGACTAAAGACCAGCAAAAGACTTAAGAATTTATTGAAGAAAATAATTTAAATTGTGGACTTTCTACCTCTTCAGGATTGCTATTTTTATCTGGAAGTATTATATGTTCAAGAAATGCTAACAGTTTTTGACAACTTTTATGTAATGGTGCCTTGAGTGTTAAATATTAATGTTATTACTGCAATATCTTCACACAGTGCCATCACCTATACATAGGCTGCAAAATAATCGTTTACACCGAGCGTTAAAACTGTGATGTTATCGAAGTGTAAAACGACTTTACTGTTCTGATGCGGCGTCAGATGGAGCTGGTGATGGACAGTCGTGTCAGTCTGCTGACGACTGAAGGAAAAAGACTTATTTATTTTTAACAACACGTTTTGCTGAAAATATTGCCTGCAAGTTTCTTTGTTTAAACTTGAAATACACGAATACCAGCCACTTATTTCTAATGCAAGTTTAAAGAAAATAAAAAAGATGTTTTATCTGTTTAAGGCAATTTTTTTTTACTAAAGTTAAGTAAAATTTGAATGCATTAGAGGCCTTCCATTTTGGATAAGAACTAACAAACTATTTGTTTACTAGTAACCAGAAATTTGATCTATGTAGCAGACATGATTACACGTGAAAAACTCTTTTAACAGATGCCCTTCTTCAACCTTCAAGCATTATTCTAATACTTTTGTACTTGTACTCTTACAATACTGAGAACCTTTAAACCACACTCATTTCTTTACACCTGGACTCTTACGAGCCAGACTTTCTTGTTGTCTTGTAAAGTGGTCTTGATCTAGTTCTTCAGGACCTTCAAAGCTTTTCGTAGTTTTTTTTTTTGCTGTGGATTCCACTCGTTCTCTGTTCAAACCTGACGGGACACCATGTTGTGCAATGTGTGCTTAAAAATGACAGATGCAAGACAAAATAATGATTTAAACTTTTTGCAGCAGAGTATTGGTATCAAAAAGTCATGTTTCTAAGAATCAGGACCTAGAGATGCATAATCCTTTAGTAAATAATCAAACTTTTAACTAATAGCTCTTGTTAATGCCGAAAAAGTAATTTGTGTTATCTATGCGATCTTGTGTTTTTTTTTATTAACTCTTTCTGACAGGCTGCTGGTAACAAAGTGCCTAATGTAATGGTTATTTTTCTAAATTGTCTGTTATGTGTCGACACACTGATTTTCTCCCATTACGGAGCGAAGAGGGGAATTGAAAATACCTTCTCGCCCTTAAACATAAAAAAGGTCACTATCAAAAATTATGTTAAAATCCAAGATGGCTGCCACCATATATGTATATATAACTTGTGAGCTGGATAACTTGGAAAAATAAGTGCGGTAGCGAGTTTCTTTTGGTGCGTGGCTGCATCTAAACGTAACAAATGTCACTATTAAACATTGGGTTGCCATTTCGAAATCTTAGATGGCCACCATGTAATCTGACCCCAGTCATTTGAGGAAACTACGCTTTGTAGTTTTTATATTTTGTAAGAGTATAATTTCCTTAAATGATCGGGCAAAGATTAATCTATGGTGGCCAAGACCACCACTGGCCACCCCCTGGCTCCGTCACGGTGCCTGGTTGAGCATAAAATTGCTCCCTTCACTTGCAAGGACACCTCAGACAAACAAACAAAAAAATAAATATCTTTCCTACCCACTTTAATATCTTGCACCAGAAACACTTGGATTAGCATTCTCCGTTCAATTCCAGTCCAGAAAAACACTTGACTTCAGGAGTCTGAATAATTCAAAGGTCAGGGTTAAATCATGCCAACATTATTCTGAACATTCTCGGCCACTGGACTAGTTTAAAACCAGTGGTGTAGTCTACATTTTTGTAATGGTTATACTGCTTAACATGGTTAATATTCAAAGAAAAACTGAAAGATCTTCAAAAAGTCTGAAGAAATATTGATCAGTCACTTTTAATTAATCAGTCTATCAGCAGGTGTTTGATAAACATTGTTTAATCTATGAAAGAGAAAAATAAAGACAAAAGTAATGAGTACGGTGTTGTTAATCTGCATTTTGACTATACAGTATTGGCTAAATAAACCCTGTCTGTCTGTAACCAATTTAAGGAGACACTGAAGGAAGTTTTCCAGTCAGCTGACTGGTGTGTCCTCAGTCAAAGGACGTGGACACATGGGATGACCTTTACCGTGTCTGCTAGGCCTCAAGCTTCTCAAACCGACCTTGAACTTTAAACAAAACATCACCATAACCGTTTCCTCTAAGTTCCGCCACAGTTTTAGTCAGTGAAACTATCCACAGCCGGTTCGGTAACAGATTATCTCCTCCTCCTGCGTGACAAAAAAAGAACCGTTTGTCCTTAAAGTTTGCGAGTGACCATAGGCTCTAACAAGTCGGACACTAATGACGTCACGTAGCCCCGCCCACTACCCGCTCAACGGACCAATGAGAATCGAGAGTTGAAGTTCTCGCTTCTCTCTCGCGCTCAGCCTCCTTAAAACCCGCACAGCTCTACGTTGGGTTCGGCCATTTCATCTGAGCAAACGAGGATCGGAGAAGGCGGCTGACAACACCTAGAAGATGAGTGAGCAGGCTATCTCCTTCGCCAAGGACTTCCTGGCTGGTGGCATCGCCGCTGCCATCTCTAAAACGGCCGTAGCCCCCATCGAGAGGGTCAAGCTTCTCCTCCAGGTGGGTGCGTTCATCTCTCCTCGTCACGCGACTAGGATTCATTCAAACTGCTGCTGCTTGTTTGTGCGGCTGTTGGGATCATTTGGGATGGGTGAGAACAAAATGAATGACTCAAAACTGCAGGAGGAGAAGAAACCGGGCTATAAATAGTAAATCTCAGCCGCTCAGATTGGTGCAGACCTGGGACCAGGAGTAACAGACCTGTTATGTAATAATGGAGCAGCTGCAGTCCCTCAGGATGAAGATGCGTGTCAGAACACGCACCCTGTGATTATCTACTTTCCTCACAGTGTTTAAAAGTGCTATTCTTCTGTGACATGTCATTAGTTTGGGGTGACAGCAAATAGACAAGGTCACAGCATGGGTTGCGCCATCGTTTCCCACCGCTGCTGCTGCTGCTGCTGCATAGGCCTGGATGCAGCAGCAAGAGGAGGAGGAGGAGGTGGAGGAGGAGGAGGAGGAGGTGGAGTGTGAATTGTTGAATGGACGTGTAACTCCGTCACTCGGGCACATGCAGGCAAATGTCTGTCTGCCAAACACGTTTTGAGGAAAACTGAATGATGCAAATACATTATAAAATATATTGATTAAACCTAAATAAAAAAATTTAAAGCTTTTCTAAAATAGAGTGCTGATTGACTTTTCAGAAATTTGCATTTAAAACAAAAGTGAACACAACCAGAACCAAAGCTAAAACTAAATACTTTAAACTAAAGTTAGCAGAACAGACGCTAAAAGCTCAAACTAGCCGAACAATATCTAAAAGCTAAAACCTGCAACGTAACGGGTACAGTAAGTGCTAAAACGAAAGAACGGTATGCTTAAATTGGCCAACGATACATAGACATCAAAAGTAACAAGTGTTAAAACAGTATTTAGCTAAAAGTTACAACTAGCAAGATGGTATCTGAAATGGAAGACTAACAAAGCTGTAGCTAAAAGCTAAAACTAGCAGAACAGTATGAATAAAAGCTGTAACCTGAAGAATAAAAGCTGATAGCTAAAATTGGCAAAACCAAGAAGCCAACATTTGTACAGCACTATATAGCTAAAAGTTAAATCTAGCTAGACAATATCTAAAAGCTAAGATCAACAAAACAAAACCAGCAGAACAGTAGCTAAAAGCTAGAATTATAACAGCTAAAAATAAAACTGGCAAACCAGTAGCTTAAAGCTAAGACTAAAAGAACAGTTGCTAAAAGCTACATTTAGCAGAACAGCTACTAAAAGCTAAAATAAGTGAAACAGTAGAAGCTAAAACTAGTTAAACAATAAACAGCTAAAATTTATAATTGGAAAACCAGTAGCTAAAACCAGCAGAACAGTAGCTTAAGTCTAAAATTAGTAAAATACTCGATAAAAGCCAGGATTAGTATAAACTGTTTATAGCTAACAGTTAAAACTGGGGAAACGGTAGCTAATGGACCAATAATTGTAGCTAAAACCAGCAGAACAGTTGGTCACATTTTAAAATTAGACTTCTAAGAGCACAAAGTTTTTTAAGGATTTGCAGAGATCTTAATGCATTTCTATGAGGAACAATATGTAAATTCAAAACATTACAAACACTAAAACCAATGACCAAAACATCCTAAACGAGCTGAACATTTTGATACCTGAATTGCTGAAATAACCGAAAGTAGTATTCAAAAGTAGCTTGGAGTCCAAAAGACGAGAGCTGACTCAGCAGCACACAATAATGCTGTGTCACTGCTTTTCTTACAGGTGCAACATGCCAGCAAACAGATCACAGCTGACAAGCAGTACAAGGGCATCATCGACTGCGTCGTCCGTATCCCCAAAGAGCAGGGCTTCCTTTCTTTCTGGAGAGGGAATCTGGCCAATGTCATCAGATACTTCCCCACTCAGGCACTCAACTTCGCTTTCAAGGACAAGTACAAGAAGATTTTCCTGGATGGTGTAGACAAGCACACGCAGTTCTGGAGATACTTTGCTGGCAACCTGGCGTCTGGCGGTGCTGCGGGAGCCACGTCGCTCTGTTTTGTCTACCCTCTCGACTTTGCCAGAACTCGCCTCGCTGCAGACGTGGGCAAAGCAGGAATGGAGCGTGAGTTCAACGGCCTGGGAGACTGTTTGGTGAAGATCTTCAGGTCTGATGGTCTCAAGGGTCTGTACCAGGGCTTCAATGTTTCAGTGCAAGGCATTATCATCTACAGGGCTGCTTACTTTGGCATCTATGACACAGCAAAGGGTGAGTTGTCACCATTAGACGCCCCTCTTCTCTGTGAACTTGTTGACTTTCAGGCAGATTAATCTTCCTGGTTAATGTTTCTTACAGGTATGCTTCCAGACCCCAAGAATACACACATTGTTGTGAGCTGGATGATCGCTCAGACCGTAACTGCCGTCGCTGGTCTTACGTCCTACCCATTCGACACTGTCCGTCGTCGTATGATGATGCAGTCTGGACGCAAAGGAGGTACCAAGTGCAACATATGACAGTCTAACATTTCATAGTTGTAGCTACAATTAACATCTTAATGATTCCTGTTTTTCTCCTCACAGCTGACATCATGTACTCTGGCACCCTGGACTGCTGGAGGAAGATTGCACGTGACGAAGGAAGCAAGGCCTTTTTCAAAGGAGCGTGGTCCAACGTGCTCAGAGGCATGGGCGGCGCCTTCGTGCTCGTATTGTACGATGAGCTGAAGAAAGTCATCTAAGATCTGTCTGTTCACTGTCCATGTTGTGAAGTTTAACTGTAACATATCTTGTACATTTGGATGGACTTAAATACAGAGTTATGTTTATAGGGACCAACTAGTATTTTCTACTAGTTGTTATGGAGAGAATGTTCTGCACTTGTCTCTTGGCCTGTCTTTGTTTGTTTGTTTGTTTTACCCCTCACAAGAATTTCATTCCCTAACCTCAAGAACTTTGCCAGACTAAGGGAAATAAAGGCAACCTACTGAGTGAACCTCTCACCTGGTTTTGAAATGTAATGCCATGTCTTAAGGGTACTGGTAAGCCCTCGGCTGCCTTGCTTCGGTTAAGCCGTCTGGCAACCTCTTGCGAGAGTCGTAAGCTTAGAGCTGCCGGTTGTAGTTGGGGACGAGCCAAAATCAGCTGAGAAAGTTGACCTGCTGACAAAACTACAGCCGTGATACACAAGTAGTCTGGAGCTACATCTGAACAAATGACTTTCCCCAGAGGAACAGCTAGGATTACCTGTCGAGAGGTGGATTATTTCAACCTTCTAAATATACTTTGATCTCCCGCCGAGCCGTTTCCGACTCCCAACGGTGCGACTGACTTTGTCCTTGAGCTGTCGACCATTTACCAATATGGCACACAAGATATTTACTGTTGGAGAGCTTCTTGATTGGTCACTTTTTAGAGGGAAACGAGTTAAAATTAGTTCAAAAGAAGGATCACATGGTTGTAGCTGGTATTCTGTTTTATAGAGGGCTCGTACACTGAATTCCTCCTGACACTTGATCCTGTTTGGCGTAAAGTCAAGACAAGTAAAGACTGAGCTGGTTGTGGCACGTGCAGGACAGGACATGGTGTACTCCTTGATCCCTAACCAGGGCGTGAAACACCCACTCCGTAATGGCTGACTGTAGGATTTGACCTTGTGATGTTCGTATAAATATGGGACCGTTGCAGAAAACCCGGTTGTAATTGTTTCAACAGCATTAGTGACAAAATGACTTTCCAAAGAAAGAAAATATACTACAGATAATACTACAGATCTCTCTCTCCTTTATATCCTCATTATTATTATGTCATCATTAAAGCAAAGCAGCAATGTTTTTTGACGAGTGTGTTTGTTAGCAAATTATGTCATGAACCTTTGGACGGCTTTCATTAAACTTCCACAAATTATTCAGTGGATGTACGTTTACAACTGATCAACTTTTGGAGTCAACATAAATCAAAAAGGCCAACTCACTTTAGGCAATGCAAAAATGGCTCTAACTCAGCGCTCTACATTTAAAGGAGAAAACCTCAAAGTTGTTAGAATTTAGAAAATCTCTCCAGACGGGACTCCACATTAACAACAGCTAACATTAATGCTAAGTTTTTAATCCTAATTCTAGTGAATCATGAGGGTTGTTAAATCATTTTGTGGCCCTCAAACTAAATTAAAATATCAGTCACAGAATATTTATTTATTCCATTTTTGGACTCTGTAACCAGTTCATTAACTAGTTTTAATAATACTAACAAATTAAAAGAATCATACCAGGACATATTGATGTGTTTTGAACATGTAACTCATGATTCCTCATTTTAGCAACACATTCAAGTCACACGATGTTCTCAAGTGGTCTCTTGTCTAATCTGCCTATCAGGGATCATTAAAGTCTTGAACATGACCCCTGACCTGGTGGTATCGGTTAATTGGTCGATCCCTGGAAACCACAGCAGGTAGTGACTTTAACTGGTCTGTCGTCCTTTACAACTTCAACAGGAATCTCTGCTTTTTATTTTTTTTACACCTTCTGCACTGATGTCAAGGTCAACAAGTCCAGTCTGCCGCCCACGTTCTCACCATCACATCATTTTACATTCTCCACCAATCGGCTGCAAAGATCTTAAAAGTCTGCTTGAATTTATTTGTTTATTTTTTACTTATAAGACATTTTATTTCACATAAACAAGAAGAAGAATGACACTTAACAGCTAAACGGGTGAAATTATATAGAAGACTGTATGTTAGCACTAGACATATTTCAATGAAACTCTCAGACAATATTCACCGGCTGGCTGTACATCTACAAATGAATACGGTAAATTTTAAGTCCCAGTCTCAATAAATAAAGTTTGAATGAAAAAAGTCACATGGCTGCCGCAACTAATCGGCTTTTGCCAACACAGTAATGGCTATACCTCAGTGATGTTTTGTCATACTGAGCTAAAATGTTGTATTGAAGAAGCTGAGAAGCATTCACAACACTTTTAATGTCAAATGTTCTGCAAGACACAGCAATATCAATTCAGTTTATTTATTTAGCGCCATGTCACAACAGAAGACGTCTCAGGGCACCGTACAGAAACATTCATATACATAAAAAGCCTATTAGTAAAAGTTATCTACCTAAAGAAGACAGCAGATTGTGTTGAATCTTCACTTCGTCACAGTCTCCCATCCTGAGCAAGCACACTGGCAACAGTGGAAAACTACCTTTAAATAGGAAGAAACCTCTTGAAGATCCCATTAATGTTTATAAATGGGTAATTTTAATTGATGCATCTCTCTTTTAAGCCACATGTTGAAAACTTGATAAAGAAACTGAAATTTAAATTGGGTTTATTTTTTAGAAATATATCTTGTTTAACTATGAATACCAGGAAACACCTTGTAAGTTTCCTACCAGCTACTGACTACGGTGACATTATTTACACGAATGCCCCTGCCAGGCCAGCATCTTGCAGATGATGGATGCTGTCTACCATGGTGCTCTAAGATTCAAAAGTAGCTGTAACTACCGTACCCATCGCTGCACCATGCACTCATTGCTCAGTTGCTCATCATTATCTACACATAGGCTCTCACACTGGTACATCTTCATCTATGAATCAGTCCTTGGTCTGCGGCCTTCTTATATTTCATTCCACGTCACATCATCAGTGCAGTTACAACATGCTCTCTCAGGCCTTCATTACCTGCAGCGTTCCCTCAGAGCGAACTGAACTCGGCAAAAAGGCCTTTTCTTACTCGGCTCCTGTAACCTGGAACACCTTACGACAAGATCTGAAGCTGTCCACTTTGATTTCTTTAAGGGATTTTAAACATTTAAATAGAAAAATCAAAGCAAATAACACTACTTTTTATTTTAATTGCTTTTTATTGTTGTGTATTGTAGTCTGTACTCTATATGTTGTCTGTCTAAAACAGATCTTTCTTGAAAATGAGTCCTCGTGACTCAGTAAGACTCGCCAGAAGATCCTGATGCATGCTCAATAATCCAGATAGATGAACCTAGACCTGGACCAGACTGTGTATCAGTGACATAAACAATGCAATTCTAGGTGGAAAGAAAACAAACGCATTTAGGTCTTTGAGTTTAGAATAATCACACAAATAGAATCAGAAAAACTTTACATCTGTTTTATTTTTGTTTACCGTTAGCACCTTATTGGTGAAACAGTAGATATGTCTTTGTTAAACCTAAGTAAAAAAATGTGTAACGTGTCAAGTAATGAAGTGAGTTCACTTCAGACACAGCACTGGAGTAAAGTTACATAATAATCGGTGTCAGTGAGGTTAGCTCGCTAAGAGCTTTGTGTCAGCTGCATGTTACATAAGCTCAGCTGTTGGACCGAATTATGTCACAACATGGCCTCCCTGCTGTCCATACACAGGGAAATACATAACTAAATTTAAGATGGCTGCCACAGCTAACTGACCTTTAAAAACACTAAATATAGCTTTAATCCCTTTCATTTTACAAATACAAACCAAATCAACATTTTGAATATAAGATCGATCTATCCATCTATCTTTTATGTTTACATTTTAAACCATCGCATGATGGCAGAAGCTAGTTACAGTAGGTGTCACATTTATTTTTAACAAGGTTATCTTAATGTGCATAATGTCATTTGTAAGGTTTGACCTACATGGCTACAACTCTCTCCCTTCTCAGCTAAGACAGTTTTAGTCTTAAACCGGTGACAGGGGCGATTCTAGAATCTGATTTTCAGGGGTGCTTAGCCCTCAGTGTTTGACAATGGCTCTTGGTTTGAACAATGTGGTGTCAAAAGCATTCATAATGTGGGGACTTCTCCCTGAATTTTTGAATAAAGTAGATGCCATTTAACCATTAAGCATACAATGTAATTATGACAAAAAATGGTGGATTTACTTACAGTTACCTTCATACAGACAAACATGCGGTACTTCCTGTTTATAACTGTTGTATTCAGAGGCAGGACGTTATCCATCTTTTACATTTTTTTCAGACTTTGTTTAGGTTTTTGGAAAATGAATAAATTGTATTCCACCTTCTAAAGCGGGGGTATTCAACTAAACTGCTCAGAGTTACTGAAAGCCAGCAGCTTAAGGGGCTGGACATAAAGCAAATATTACAATAATTTGTTACTTTTTAAATTAGTTTATTTTGTTGCATTGAATCATAAATGACATAAACAAAAACCCAAACCCAGAATGGCACAAAAAACAAACAAACAAAC